TTATTGGAATGAAAAATAACTTTTCCAATGTACTTTAATATGACAAATAATTATCATGGGTCTATATCTACATAAGCAAAGGTAAACTGAGTGTCAAATGATGACCTGAATAGTTTGTTCAGAGTTGGTCTGTTAAAGGAAATACTTGAATAAAGGTAATCGTTATTGAGATAGGCTTTTTACTATGGTCATAGCTTATCTGCCTACTTGTTGGTCCATGAAGTACTAATTTGAATAATGAGTTTTCATCTTATTTCAATATAATGCATTTTCTTTTTACTTTTGTCATTGCTTTAAAACATGTTTACTATAAATATGAAATTGTACATATATTGAAGGACAGAACAGAGAACAGTTGTAGGATGGAAAATTATAACTCATATTTATAACTTATAATGGCAACTCTGCAAGAAAATCACCTGTGCTGTGTGGGGTTTAAATGTGTCCATTTATGAAATAAGTTCGGGTTTGAATAAGGGACCTGTCTAATTAGACAGCTCTTAAGGACTACCGGACGATTCTGATCTGGCATTAACTTAATGGCACTTCTTTTACTCTATAGCTCCAGGGATTACCAATACCTCATAAGGGACATTTTATTGATCATCAGTCATACAACTTCTGCAGTGGCATTTTGTATAGATACAATTCTGATGCTTATTTGACATATGACATAGTGAATATATAGTAATGATAGGGTTACACTCATGTGTCACAATCATCATATTAGAGCAGCCCTTGAATCTATCTTAATATTTCCTCCCTCATATTAACCTTTTTGGCCACGTGTGCCTGTAGATTGGCCCGCAATGTTAACGAGATATACTACAGAGTAGCTTTTTTTCTTAGATTGATCCTGAAGTCAAAAGATGGATTTCAATGATTGGTAATTGTATTGCTTCTTAAAATTATTTCCAGAACTATGAATTCTATGAAGTACTGTGGGAAATGTAAATTTATTTGTTGTTTTTTCAATGTAAGAGAAAATGAGTCAACTGCACACTATAGAGAAGAAAATTATTTCCTGAATGATCTAACAAATTTTATGCAGCATATTAAGAATCCATATGAAGGATGATATTAAGAATCTATAAATATCCAGATGTGAAAACATAGTGGTCTAGATAGGTAAGACATGATGATTCATGGCATGAATATTTCTACTAAAATATTTACAAAAGAAGTGAAAGAATACTATGAAATGCCTTTTTAATTTCGTGTTAAGTATTAAAAGATTCTCCATTATATTTGTTGATTGATTGGTTGGTTTATTTATTCACTTATGAGGCCAAGTAATTCATCTTTGTTATTATTGGTAGAAAAAATAGAGCTTTAGTCTTGTATACTTTCCAAAGGAAAATTGCTTTATATACATTGAACAGGAAATTAAAAATTAATTTTCTGATGGAGATTTTTGAGAAACAGACTATAGTCCATGTTATTTGTATGGAGATCTCTTGTTCATTCAGTGGTGACCCTTATTCAGATCCCAGTGTGTTTATAGCATAGTACTAGAAGGAAACAACCAGTACTTATTATTTACGAAGTTTCACATCAAAATAGAGCCAAGTATCCCAAGAAGGAAAAAAAAAGAAAACCTTCCTAAGAAACATTAAAACAAGTAATAGTTATTGTCTACCAAGACTTATTGTTTAAATCTCAACCAGATAATTTTTCATGTATTACTTTACTGAATCCTCACAATAAAATTGTGATGTAGCTATTACCTCCATTTTGCTTATGAAAACAGCTCAGAGAGATTGTAAATTTCTTAAGATCACAGAGCTAATAAGTGGTAGATCTGTGATTAACAGGTTTGGTTGGTTTCAAACCTGTACTGCTTCTCTTATG